GGGGGGGGGGGGGGGGGGGGGGGGGTGGGGAGGTACTCCCTATACTGGCCTAAAACAGGGCAGGAAAAAAAATTCTGACATCCATTTGCTCAGTGGGCCAGTACATTTCAGTTTAACTAATTGAGATCAGTTTTTCATGCATCTCTCCTGTTATTGATCATGAATTTCGTCGTAACATTGTCAAAGTAGCTGTGGATCCATGAGGCGATAGCTGAGTGCATCCACAGACTACTTTGACTACAATGTTTGACTACATCCACAGACTACAATGTTATGATGAAATTCATTGTCAATAACAGGACAGATGCATGAAAAACTGACGTCAATTTGTTTTTTACGACAACAAATTGTCAAATTACCCGTTCTTGCTCCTTGACGCATTGCATAAATTATAAATTCATATGTCTGTCCGCTTATTGACAATGAAAACTAGCCAATGAGCATGCAAGAATTTCTGCAGTTAGCGTAAAATTTCAGTTGCCCCCACTAAAAAATGTCTTGCCCAGTAGGTGTGCGGTGTTCATGCCTTATCAATTAGGTACATCATTTACTAGGTACTGTCTATAATCAGTGATAGACTGTAACAAAATGAGCTTACTGGTACTAAACTGGGTGAAAGATACTGGACTGTAACACAAATGGATGTATTTCAAATTAATCCATGCTACGAAGGCTAATTGCACTTGCCCACCAGACCACCAAACTTCCATTTTGACTTGCCCAGGAGCAAAAGTTACTTGCCCCGGGCAATCAGACCTGCGTTTTTCTCCTGCTCTGCCTATATAGGGAGGCTCTGTCCAAAAGAGGTATTTTTTCGAACCGATGCACCTTATGGCTGTATCGTTTAATTTATTAAGCACTTAAGACAACATTTTCTTTCTCGCCAATTTATTTATAAATACGGGCCAGTCATGATTTCAAGCATGTGAAAGAGGTACCTTTTTGAATTAAAGGTATATGAAAGGGGTACATTTTTGGTCAAAATGGTATACAAAAGGGTAAGGTATTGGACCTTGCACTAGAGCCTCTCCATATAAAACTTTGTCGAGTAACCCCCATGGGGTGTTACAGAAACTGGAAGCACTGAAAACAATACAACCCAAACTACGGGTGTTACTGCTGAGGAATTATATGGCCAAAGTGTACTGTAGAACAAGGAGGGTTGGGACAGCCTCGTGTGTGCCTATATAAGCATACAAGATCACCACATAATATTTCTACCAGATTGAAAACCACTACAAAATTCTCTGCTCTGAGGCACAATCCCTTGAAAGTCAAGTTCGTACTAACAGTTACCTTCAAAGTGGTGATGGGATTAATGCGTACATGGTTTAAGTTTAGAACAAGTGACACAAGATGAACTTTTTGGCAAATGGGAGGCTTTAACTTTCGATATGTAACGCAAAGATCAGTTTGCAGGGCTGTCACACAACACATCCATGCCAGTCACGCTACACATTGAAACATGAACCACCCAGATAAAGAAAAAAATTATGAATGAATGAATCAGAATAATATCTATAGTCAATAGCATGCGTTAGTTTCTTACAGTTTGATCATTTCTTTGAGCCTTCCTGAAGTTCTTAAGTTGAAATTTTTAGCTGCATCGGTAAAGAAATTCTCTACTTCGCATTTGTCCGTGTCATTACGGCTGTCTACCTCATACACACCGAGAACAACTCCACGATCTATGACGGCCTAAAATAAGGTAAATAGAAAAAAATAAGCTGAAAAAATTGACATTCAAACTTTTAAATTCTTTTCGAAGTACTAACCTTTGAACAAAATGCCCTGACCGTGGGTGAAAAATATCTGGAAGTGCGACCAACCAATAGAGAAACAGCCGCCATCTTGAAACTTGCAAACTGGTTTCCAGACTTCATCGGACAGGACTTTTTCAACCTTCCTGCAGCCTCTTCCAGCCTCATAAATTTCATGTGGAAAGTAAACCTACTTACCGAAAGCAATTTGATCCGTAGCTGTTATGTGTCCGACTTGATTCTTTTAAATATAAACTCGATTTGTTAAACAGTTGGATACGTGCTCTTCTTACAGATCTTAGGTCTCGTCCACACTACGCGGGAGAAATTTGAAAACGCAACTTTATTTCTCCGGTTAAGCTGGGTTAAGCCAACCACAGGCGGCCCAAGCTCTCAATGTTATCCCTTTTTTTTTTTTTCCTTTTTATGCGAACGTTCAGGCTAACGGGACATATGGCATGTACTATTACATAACGACCGAATTTGACCACGCGAAACATGACTCCCGCCTTGCAGCATATGGAGGTGTTGTGTTACAACGGTTTGA